CCTATATCTGCTGCTTTATTAACTCGGTTTCTCGCGTTTTGGAATCTTCTGCTTTTCTAAAAACGGTGTTAGTTCTTAACAGTGTAATCGTATTTTATAAACCGCGGTATTCTTTTTTTTTAAAAAAACGATCGTTCCTTTACTATTGCAAAATATTTCGAGCTTGTCTTAATTTTTTGCAATGGGAATTTTTGTGCTTAATTCACGAATTTTCATAAAATAGGCAACTTACTATTTATGCTCGTGACGCTTGGACTGCTCAGTACGATCTTTCGACTTGTTGCCGCTGTCTTAACATTGGTCCCAGATGATTGAGTGAAACACAGAGTGAGGGAGATAAAGCGCAAGGCTACTCTCACTTAAATCCGGCGCAAGTCATTGTCCTTACACTAATCTGGCCTAGAGCACACGGTAAATCTCGTCGACAACGTCGGTCGAACTGTCTTGCGGGCCTTATGCGGCTTATTACATATATTTACAAAAACGTAGATTAGCGCATCAACAATTATTTCTGACGTTTTCTGAATTTCAACTTTTACAAAATATATAGTGTTTCACTATTGTAATGCAAACGCAAGTATTTTTCGTAGATTTTGTTCCACGAAAGGCGGCTTAGTATTAATCTGGTGTCTTTGTCCTTTGCACTGGAGACCAGTGAGGTTCCTAAATTAAGGCAAAGTATATAAACTAGTTGCGTCACTCGATATAAACATATTTTACATATTTTATCAAAGACAGGCATATGCATATTGTTTTGTTCTTCTGTGATAGAAAATAACGTCTTGTTTAGACCGCATGCTTTAAGCGACCGTTATTAATTCGTTCATCAGATATATAGTAGTTATAAGACTTTTTAAATTCTAAAATACCCATTAAGTTAGTATGATGCTTTTGCCTTTATTCAGTCAGGTTCTCCGGCTATTTTACTTGCAGTTGTTGACACTCTGACAGCTACATCACACACATACTTCTGGTCAATTAATTTTGAATATGAAAATTTATCAGTATATTGATTTAGGCGAGCTGTAGGCGATATGTCGACGGTATTAGTCAACAAACACTAGGCCTTAAATGATTTCATTCAACGTGTTAAAATATTTCTCGATGTTGTCAAATTTTACTCTAACTTACGATCAAATGGTGGGACTTATAGTTATTGTGAATGGTTGCGTTTATGGTAGGATTGTGTCGTGGGGTCGTCTGGGAAAAGTGTGAAGCTCGTCCCGCAGGCTTACGAATGCATGATATTTGGAGAGGGGACGGGCGGGGCATGCCAGGGAAGAAAGTAGAACCCAATATTAATGTCCAATGAAAAAGTTACGAGGGCAAGTTGGGTCGCGTACTCAAACCTTGGGAGAAGACACTGAAATAGGAAGAAATTAGAACCCAATTTGAATGCCCAATAAAAAAGTTACGAGGGCAGGCTGGGTCGCGTACTCAAACCTTGGGAGAAGACACTGAAGGTAGCTTTAATATCGTCGCTAACCCCCACCGACCAACGGCGAACGCGTGCATGTAGGAGGGTGTGCCCAAACCTCGGGCGTGGTCACTGAGAGACACTTTCTACGGGTATCACTAACACCAGCTGGGAAAGATCTTAACAAAGTACAAAAGGCAGGGAGGTTAGGCAAATAACCCTAGTGAAAATTTGTAAGTAAGCGGTAATTCCTGTGGGTAGTCCAAAAGGCCAAATTTGCTTAGTTTGGCGAG